TTTTTGTGGTAGGCTCAAATTTGATTGTTTAGAGCCTCGGCTCCATACGAACTTTTCCCTTTATAATTTGGGTTTTCTTTTGTTTGATCATTGCTCTTTGTTTTTGTAGATTTCTTTGTGGGTTATGCAGATTAATTCCATGAAAGCCCAGGGGTTCGAGCAAACCCTAGAAACTTTTTCTATTCATCTTTAAGGAAAATGGAAAACAATACCAGAACCAGCCTGGATTGGGGCAGGGTCCACTAAACCCATCCCAAGTCGGGTCCTGCTGCAGGGTTTGGGTCAGGGTCCACTAAAGGGTCGGCTGAAATAATGGGTGAGATCCAGGCCGCTGCCAACCTAACCCAAGATCCTGCCCTTTTATATCAGACATGGAGATAGGATGCACCCATGTCATTAGGACAGAATCATAAAGGGAGAATGTTCCTGTGGACCCAAAACTGGTACCCGCGAAAGAAACAAGAACATGTTGCAGAGTTCTCCACCTGCATATAGACAATGAAAATGTAGAAGACTCCAAAAATGAAGAGGCCATGTGCTGAGGCTTCTCCCCCTAGAGTGACAAAGGATATAATGAAAAGGGAAGGGAATCCACAAACGCAACGGAAAGGCATGTCGAAGAATCACGGAGACGAATCAAGCTTGCAATAATGAAAGGGGTCAAGCTTCTCTTTCTGCAATTGGATGCAGAAGCTAGCAGCTATTTTTTTTACCCACTAACACAATTGAAGCCTCACAAAGAATAATATCTTATAAACCATTCAAAAGGAAAATGAATCTCCAAATATATACACACGAGAAAAAATACCACATTCCAATGAATCCAATGGAGTATGTTGTATGATACACCATAAGGCATGAACAGTTGTGGGGCAAAGTCAATCTTCACCATCCATCATTAGGAACCGATGGTGATGCCCCCTTTGGAGTACCAAACACCATACTATACTTTTCCAAGACCTAGACAAGGAAGGAGGCCATTTCCATAATATCGTATCAAAACAAGGCACCTTGACAAACAATTTACAATGGTCACCGAGGTATAGCAAGTGATTGGAACCATAAGGCATGGGTTGGGATCCAATAACAATTAAGCAAAACCAATGTCAGCATACATACACTTCATCATCTTCAGGGTGGAGCTTTTGGAGCGCCTTTTTTGAGTACACTGTAACGGCAACTGTTGCAGCAACTGCCCCAAAGAAACCAAGGGAATTGAACAATATCTGCTGCGGTGACAAGAAGACATGACCATGCTGAGCATCGGCCATGCTCCTTATCAAAATGCCACTGTACCATTCCCACAAATACCAAAAACTAAGTAATAAAACTCATAAAAAGTCCAAATATACACCAAGAAGAAAAAATGGAATATGAACAAACAATGTAGCCTCAGATGAATGTCCCTGTGGGCCCATTTGTTAGTGGGAAAGGACAGTGGATATGACCTTGAAGTAGTGAATAGTATTGATGTAATGGACTGTACAATAGTACAGGTAATGCTCTACAAAAGGAAAATAATGATGTCTACCAAATTTCCCTTTCCTGTCTGATATTTCTGAGGAAAACCTTCATAAGTTATTTAAAAAAAAAAACTATAGTTCCAGCCATCTTGACCTGAAAATTATGGGGGGTAGAACCTGAATCTGTAGAATCCATTTTTGTAGTTTTTATTGGTTTGTTTTGTATAATATAATTCAATTGCTCTTTCTTCCATATTTTTTGGATGAATTTCTTCCATACTATTTATGAGGCACAACACCCCATGTGAAGAGAATAAATAAAGCAAGAAAGGCAATACAAAAAGAAACCATGAGATTGGAATATATATGTACATAAGATACTTGGGCTAAGTGGCTAGCTCAGAGTGCACAATACATGCCTAGCTGGGTGGACCAGTTGAGTCTAAATAAGTGGGCCTCCAATAATTCAATATCAGTTATGTGGGTCCCATGACGTCCTAAACCCATGGGCACCACTAATCAAGATTTTTTCTTTTTTAATCATCTAGCAAGACTTGATTGCTACATAATTCATTAAAAGTAGGGCTGTTTTTTCATCTTTTCTTCCCTAACACGCACAATATTGTACATCTCCATTCCTAAGAGATATTATGGGGAAAGATGAAGGTCTCAATCAATACAACTTAAACCCCCTAAAAATGCAGGACCCCTGTCCATAAACTGGATACCGTAAATGAAGAAAATATCAAGGATAAGGATCATTCATGAAAACAAATGGGAGAGAAACAAATAATAAGAACTTTTTGAGTCTCAAACATTCTTACTAGATTAGGCCAAATCAAGAGATTCAAGACCATTGGAACACAATAACGACTCACAAACCAAAAGCCAGGATGACAAAGGTGGAGCTTGTGGCCCTAGTGAAACAATTGGAATAACTTTTTTCTGAGCCTGATAATCGTTCTTGCTATATAGGGACAAAGCATGCCCCTACTTTTTTTTTTTTTTGAGGGAGGATAAACAAGACCATTACAATGCAATAATGATGCACAAAACAAAAGGCAAGGATTGCAAGATAGTCTTATGACCCTGTTGGGTTTTAGTAGAAAAACTACAAAAAGGTTGAGGCTAATGAATACATTATTAAAGGAACCAAATACTTCCTCCATTATTTTCAGGTAGGCTGACTGGGATTCATGCCTTCCTAGTGTGCTTTCGCTGCCCTTGCACAATTAAAAATCACATAATGAACCAGGGGAAATGTATCAAAATACACCTAACTCAACAACTATTTAATATTTTACCCATTTTCAACTATTCCAACTCATGATCATGTGTATTTTGATGGGCTCTTTGAAATAAAATCAAAAGATATGGACAAATGTTAAACAGTTCATCATTTAGGTGTTATTTGATAATTTCCCATTAATAAAAAACACGTACAGTCTAGACAACCTATCATTTGTCAAATATATCTAAGGAGTTAATTCAAAACCATGGTAAGCCTTAGAAGAATCCAAAAGGAAAATTAAGTGAAGACATTTCTTGCTTAAAGCAAGAAGTGATTAGGTGAAAAAGAGATAATGCCAAAAAATGCAACTAATTACAAACATAGCATCTCCAAGAGGAACAACATAAATTGGAGAAGACCCAAACAATGGTATAGCTGCTGATAACAAATAATAGACAATAAGTCAATAACAATTCTCCGAACATATGCAATCCCAGTAATAAATATAGAAGTAATCACAAGAAACCTAGCACAGTAAGGAACATAAAAAACAAGGCGCCATCCAGCGTCTAGCATACTAATCTTAAGTTGCCCATAAATATCATCAAAGCTATGTCACCATCTAGATTGAGCAAAACTAACATGTTTGAAGCCAATGAGAAAGCCTTGTTCACAATAACACATTCTTAAGAGACAACATCAAAGGTCAGAAATAAAAGTATGGCGACATTAAAATGGAAAAAACAACTATTACTTACATTTGTTTGTAGTAAATGAGTTAATCTTACATGATATGTGCCAGAAATCTTGGAGTCACAAGATATCAAACATAGAGATGTTAAAATGCAAAATAAATTACATATAATGTACACATGTTATGGGTAAATGCGGCATATGCAGCAACTCATATCATTGGCATAAACATGAAACAAGTCGTCACATTAGTTACGATTTAAGAATCATCAAACACCATTACTGAGTTTTGTAAGCAAGCAACTTAATCATGTAAAGTAAGACATCGAACCTGTAGATTGTGACAAAGGCTTCTGGCACCATGCCTACCAAAGATCCAAATATATAAGGACAATAACCAACATTTGTTGCTACAGCAGCATAATTAAAAATAATATACGGAAATGGAGAAATCCTCAGTAAAGTGACAGCCCGAAATTGATGGAACCAATTCCCTTCTCCAGCTAACCTCACAGCAGCAGCTTTCTTTGGCCATCTTTCCAGCCACCTCTGCATCAGATGAACCACAGTTATGCTGCAGATTTTTTATTAAACCTTCGTTCCCCATTAATAAATCACTAGCATTGCAGAAGCATCATTCTCTAAAAAAAACTGGCCGTCGACATTCAGTGCTGTGTGACTACATTTATAAACATTTAGGGCAAGTGCACCATCCACATCCTGAGTATGTTATATGGTACACGCAGCTGGGGTATCCACCACCTCCCTCATTCATCAAAATGAAACTACCATTGGTTCCACTATTCAACATATAGAATGTATAGCGGATGCCTCAGCAGTGTACTGTATACCAATCACAGGCACTGTATGGTATACTTGCCAAACATTTAAATTTACACGAAATACTCACGTGTATTCTGTGCTTAAAATGAGAACCAATGAAGTATGGCAAAGACATTCCCACACTTGTGCCTGCCATTATCAATAAAAACCCAAATCCATAACCAAATGTTATCCCTGCCAACCACATACAAGGAGCTGATGGTAGCAAAAGTGCAGGAAATACAGCCATAGAAGCAAAAAGAATAACCCCAAGAACAGAAGTGGTAAATGTTGCTGTCTCCCAATCCAAGACAGGCACGACAACCTGACAATGTAAACAGCAAAATCATAAACCAACAACCAAAAAAATAAGGGGGAAAGAAACTCCATGCTACAGTGAATTTCATTAGACAACAAGACGTAAAATAAAAAAGCTCCAAGTGGAAAGAAAAACTACAAAAATAGTCCCGGAACCCTTCAAATATAGCTGCAGGGCGGCAACAAACACAATGCCATGTCTAATGGAAGATCGCAAGCAGTTTCAAATAAAAAAGATCACAAGAGAAGGCACAATGTTTAAATACAACTCAACCAAGAGAAATACAACGCCATACCTTTGTGTGAAAAGAAACTTCGAGGTACCATTTGTAATCAGAGATCAGCTCTCTATTTTCGAAAAATTTCAAATACTATTAAATTTACTGAACATATGCCATACACCGATTTATTTTAGATGCTTAACAGTTTAACAACAGCTTCAGCAATTATTGATTTCCAACGTACTTGGTTATATGACTCTGACTAAGCCCATTGATTTCGGATTCCCTTACTAACTCTCTATAAAAGAAATATCCATAAAATTGTGTTTATCAATTACACACTGCTTCAATACCATGGAATAATAGAAACATGTAGAAATAATGGCGACACCCCAAGATAGTAATATACTAAATTCCTCATAAGAGAAAGGCTCGATTCGATAAAGGGTGAGCGAAAGGCTCAATTCGATAAAGGGTGTGGTTTGCATAAGGTTAACGTCTTAAACAATCAAAGTAAGGTGCACCCTCAAATGGTGTCAAAAGATAATGTTCAATCCTAAAAATCCTCGTGATTGCCAAAAAATCTATTTTTGCCTCTAACTATGAAATTTAAAGCTTTAAAAATAGTATAGATCGAGCAGATCTATGGACACCTAAAAATCTTGAAAATGAACAGTCCAGATAATGCATTACAAAATGTATTATTCTTAGGACTTAAATTTTTTTTTTTTTTTTACATCCATATATCTCAAGGTCAAGATGATCAGTTAGAGCATTTTTTAACTTCAGAAACCTTTCGGGTAAATTTTTGGGGTGCACCTTAATTCTACAGTATAGGTTTGACAACTTATACAAACTTTTTCCTTCAATAAATTCCTTCCTTTATGGGTAATAAATTCCTTCTTTGATGGGCAACCAATTCAACCAAGAAATACAATGCCATTTTTTTGCGTAATGCCATTCTTTTGCGTGAAAGTAACTTCCAGATGCCATTTGTAATTAGAGCTCAGCTCTCTACTTTCCAAAAATTACTAAAATTACTAAATTTAATGAACTAATGAAATACACCTATTTATTTTAGACCCTTAATAGTTCAACAACAGCTTCAGCCACTATTGATTTCCTATGTACTTAGCTCTTTGATTCTGACTATGCATACTGATTTGGAAATATCTTTCTAATTCTCCATAAAATAATAATCATACAAACGAACTCTAGATAAAACTAGGCTTATTAATTACACCTTGCTTTAATACCATACGTATTGATCTGGGAGTCCCCTACTAACTCTCCATAAAATAATAATCATACAAAAGAACTCCCCATAAAACTATGTATATTAATTACTCTCTGCTTTAATACCATGGAATAATAGAAGGAGCCAGTTTCTATGCGGCCAAGCCCGCATATGTACAAATGTGGGCCCCTTAATAAATCTATTTTTGAGATGGAATTTAAGACTTAACTTTTAAGGATATGTAATTTCTAAAATGGAGATCATAAATATGAAAAGTAAATAAAATTTTAAAACTAAAAATAATAATTCTAGCAAGAAAACATTTGAACCGTTAGTTTCCATTGCTTTTAGATGGAACACCTATTTGCATCCATCTTTAAGATGGATGCCCTACACTTTCTGGACTGCATATGTAGAAATGCGGTCCAGCCCGCATGAAACAATTTTCCATAATAGAAACATATAGAAATATTGGAGACACCCCAATATAATTTACTAAATTCCTCCAATTACAAAGGCTTGATTCAACAAATTCCTTCTTTGACGGGTGACAAATTCAGCCGAGAAAAATGTGAAGATAGATGTACCTCAACACAAGCTTTCAAAGAGTTCCTATCTGGTATTAGCAACTAAAAGTCTCTTTCATACCTCAAGACACGTCGTCAAAAAAGTATGGCACATACCTAATACTTGGCAATTTATCAACAAGACAAGCCCCTTTAACTTCCTTGGGTTCCTTTGTGTAACTAATCTGCACAATAATTCCCTCAAAAAACAAAAGCCAGCTGCTAAGCAATGCCACCTAAAACTTCATCATGCAATCATTCACATACTGCTGCCTGTGATGAACGCCAGACTTTCATATGAAAATTACTGAGAGAAGCAGTGTTTATTGTTTGCTCTATCTAGATGACACCAGAATCATGTAGAATAATGTGAACAAAATTAAAGACAGGAGCTTCCAGTTTCATTAACATATGAAATAACACATTCAAGCTATACAGAAGATATTAGTACGATACAATGTAAACCACCCCAAACCCTAGGAAACTCATGTAGTTGCTAAGAACATCTTAGTCAGAAGACATGTCCAACGAGTAGAGGGGAAATATTCATCATGTGCCATGCTTCCAAATGACCCAAACTTTGCCTTGTCGTTGGGTTTATTACTTAAGAGAAGGTAGAAAAGAAACCCCGTGCTTAAACCATTGAAAAACTGCAAAAAGAGTACCTAAATAAAGCAAGGAAACTTGAAATCACATGCTATGTTTTGTACGCAAGCAACATTTGGCCACTGTATTTTATGTACTGCAGAAACCTATAGAACCATATAGAGTCCTGTCAACCATTGCTAAAGACATCTGTAGAACCCAAAATGATAAACACATTTCCATGGTAAGGAGATTGCCAAGTTCCATTAATGTAGATTCCTAGGGAGATTCAGGCAAAGAATACCCACTTAGTCTTTCGGGAAATGAGCCCTACTACCAAATCCATTGACCTTTTCATCAAGAAAGGCTAGAAAGCCTTTAAAGAGAGAACACACACTACCTTCGGAAGACTTAAACGTGGTGAATGGTTAACCCAACTGTGTGAAACAATTCAAAATGGATGAGAGACCTAATTAGGCTCATGGTTTTATATTGAGGTGGATGATTCACTAAAAGTCATCGCATGGGCCAACAAGCAGAGGAGCCACTTAGTTTTGAGATCAGGTAACGGCTAATACAACATAAGATTGCATTGCAGGGACTTCCAAAACGTTATTTTCCAAAAATCTAATTATTCAGATACATATTCAGATAAATATACGCATATATTAAAAATGCACCATGAATTGTACTGATAAGCAAAAAAGGGATTGTTAATTGTTCATCAATAAAGTGTGGTTTCTATTTTCATATACATAAACCAACGCAATTAAGAACTATCTATGATCACACACCAAATGACACATTTGGTAATTAGAAGATAAGGGAATAAAAGTCACAAATGACAATCCCCAATTAAAGGACTAGAGAAGAAGCTAAAACTTCAAAAAGAATGGATGCAACTATCAGATTCCTTTGGACTGACTGAGATATGCTTAAGATGGCAGATGCACTCATAAGTCAGTCATCTTTCTCATTCCCTATAAGGTTACAAGCTTTGAAAATTCATTTCGCTCTTTGGAAACTCATTATCAGAGGGCATAATAACAGGATCTTCAGAGAAACTATCATTAACAGCCCTGCCCTCAAAGAATTGGTGGAATATTACATCATCAGTCAGGCAATAGTCAGATTGGAATTTTGGGACATTAGTTTTGTTGACCTCATCAACAAATCAATAATTTAAGATCGCTTAGCTTGTCGATCCCTTAATTGGAATAACTAAGCAAGAGGTCACTCTAAGTATTACTGAACAGCTTTCTGAGCACCCATGTTCAATGGTCCAACTCAACCAACTCCCTAAGATAAAATACACAAAAGGGGCAGGTCTCGGTTAAACACGTCCAAGTTTCAGGGATTTTCATCCTGAACTGGCAGCAGGGTCCAAGTGACTGGGGCAAGTGCTAGCCCAAGTCACCGATCTTGTAATAACTGCAAACAATTTAATTGATGTGTTCGCCACTACACTACACTACAAAATGGCATAGCAGATTTGGAAAAAAGATACACACAGGTTGCATCAAGGGAACTCAAAATCAAACATAAAAAATTCCACGTTATTCATTCTATACTGTTCTCTAGAGATATGCTAAATTAAAAGCTGAAAAATGATCCATGATAATATATCATAAAGAGGACTGAGCTCATTCATTATCTAGAACAAGATAAAAACAGTTGAGCACGCTACCTTATCTAAGAGAAATGGTACTCCCCAGATGATGAAAGCAGCTGCAGCTACAAGTAGGCAAAGGCATACTAAAATCGTCTTCACCCACCAACATAAAGAACAAGATCTTGATAGGGTTTGATTTTGCAACCTCCCAAATTCCTCAGATTCTGGATCATTCAAAAAATCCAACCTTACGTAGCTACCATTGTTGTCCTCCATTTGTTCTTTTGCTTCTAAAACTTTAATGTCTGTCACAAGAAGGGAAGTCATGGCCAAGCACCTTCTTAGCCAGTCAAATTCTTGTCAATTGCATGAATCATTGGTACAAATATGAGCCAATTATGAGGGGTTTTCCCTCATAAAAATATAATCTTTTCTATTTTTTTCTATTTAGAATCCCACTAAAGAATATTCACCATACAAAAGAAACTAACTCCCAAGTGTGGTGAGAAAACTGATCTCAAAAGATCATAATGAGATGACAAACGAGAAAACCTCCCATTTGTCCGCACATTAAACTTCAACTCGCACAATTTATTTAACCTTGAAAGCTTAAAATTCCCAGTAAACACCTCAAAATACCTTAGAAGACCATTTTTCTCCTTCCAGTTCTGCAACCAAAAGAATACAAAAGCTTTGAGAAATCAAAAAGGCAAAATGGAAACCAAATATGATTCAACAAAACACACAAAACAAATTTGAAAACGGCCTTCGCCTGAAATTCACCGTACCTAACAAATTAGGAACAGTAATGATGCTAACCGCCAATATATAATTATTAGAAACTGAACCAATTCTCTATAGATAGCCGATATATTGGGACACGAATCTGGAACAGAGCTCAAAATGCCTCCTCTGTAAACACTAAAACTATTGGGCACCTACATTGAAACCTAGACAGAATGGAACCCTAGAATGAAGCTCTAGCACCTGAAATTCAGGGTGATAAACCCAAAAAACGAGGTAAGTCCCGTGATAAGGCTTTGACAGCGGCTCTGAGAATCCAAGGATGAATCTTTTAATGGTCAAACGACCCAAATGCAAACCCTAGAATAAAGGCAACCCCTTAATGACATTGAAAGGAAAGCCTCATCTACTAACCCTGAGACAAAATCAGCAAATCCTTGTGCCCATCCTTAGAATGGAACTTTTAATTGCAGAAAATCCTCATAGACAAGCACGAAGATAAAGCTTTAACGATGGAAGCCCTACCCTCTAAACCCTAAAACCAAATAAACCTAATAATGGAGCTCCGACACCATGGAGAAAGCAACAAACCATTAAAGAAAACCAGAAAACCCCAACAAAAAGTAAGACCTAGATTCGAGCTTCAGCAATGGACGAAAAATCAATACAAAACGTAAAAGAAAAAGTACCTAAATGTCGGCAAAATCCATGGCTACAAGGGCCCTGCTCTCCCTGTAAAAAAGAGGTAAAAAACAAAGAGAAAAGCTTTAAAAACGATGGCGAATTCTTGAAGGAAAGGAATCGATCAAGAACTCGCCATCGATCAGAGAGAAGCGCAGGAGCCCGAAACCGATTCTGAGATTTTTTCCGCGTTTTTTGCAGAAAGAGAAATGAAATGCCACACAGGCTGGACATTTTTAACTAAGTCTCTAATGGCAACTAACAAAAAGTGGGCCACATAATGTATGACACGTGTACACACTTGAAGTAGACGTGGCGGGTTTTGATCGCTTAGGATTGGAGCGTGGTGTACACGTCGGACAACGGGCAATTACAAATGATCTTGTTCTTAATCTTTGTTAAGTTGGATAATTATTACTTAATTACTAGCCGTTTTGAATGGTTAGGGGGGTGGTTTTGGGATTTATGATGCGGTTTCGCAAGGCCTTGGCGTTATGGAAAAGAAATAAAAAAAAGGTGGAGCCTTACCTTAAAATCTTGTCCGAAAAACATTTTTATTGTGGAAAATCGTTAAGATAACTTTAAAATCTATTTCCACCATCGATTATAAAATTTATAATTTAAAAAGTAATGCAGATAATGTGTTATAATATATATTATTTTTATGATTTGGAGTCTTAATTCTTTTATAATCGTAATGATCAAGATCGAAATGATTAATTTGAATGTTTCCTAACATTGAAACTATAATTTCAATGAATTTTGAAGCAACGATTTACTTCTTGTCCATAAAATCTGAGCCTTATTCTAACTTTTTCCTTACTTGCAAAGCAATTCAGGAGTACGCAGCAACTTAGTAACTATAACATTTTGTACTTTTTTTGGGTTTTCTTTATTCAATTTTACAAGAAAGTATATAATAAAGTTATTTTATCTTTATTTTTGGTAAAAAAATCACAATTATCTATAGTCAAACAAGTTAAATTAGGTGTACCTGAATATGATAAATTTTTCTTGAAAACTCTGTTTATTACAATGAAGTACCTCAATCATCAAATTTTGCACCTCAACAATCCAATTTTACATCTAATTGTTGGAGGTGCTTGTGGTTATTGTTTATGAAGTCTTATCATATGTAATCTCTAACCAAGCGGTAAGCCCATTGATGTGTTTTTCAAAAAATTGAAATTCCTTCATCTTTTAGAGAAAACAAAACATTTATACTTTTATTACGTTTTTTTTATTCAAAATCATTTTTTCCTCCACCTTGCACTGCAATGAATCATTCTGGATAAAGATAACATGTATCCCTTACTTTAGAGAAGGCTTTCTGTATGCCCCTAGGTATAGGGAATTTATATATGCCACTATAATCCAATTGTCGGATCTGAATTAATGGTCATGATACCTTCATCTATAATATCACAATTGAGCCTTGGTCCTTTAATCTAGATCTGACATCTCTGGAAGTATTTAAATTTTTGTTTTTTATTTACAAATCAGATGAACATGAAGTTTGGTCACGTATGGCAATGATTTCATGCAATCGTTGTATAGTAATATGATGCAACAACCTTAAAAACCTATCTTATGGCAATTTGTTTGATCTAAAATTTGAAATATACACTCTTTTCATTCTAATGAACAATCACAAAAAACAGAAAATTTGAAAACACAACCTAGAAAGTATTTTTTTAGCCCAATTAACATAGGCCGTTTATTTTAGTAAGATGTTTAGATCTAGGCCCTAGAAGGATTTTTTCACTTCCAATTTTTTTGGACAGCTTTATTATCATTAGATGAACAATGTTAAAAAAAAGAAAAAAAAAATGATTTCGAGTTTATAAAAGCTAAGATTTTGAAATTCACAAAATGAATGGTCTAGATTCGTTTTTGGAGGGGAACTCATTTTGACCATATCTAGGGTTCAAATTGAATCATTTTTTTTTTGGATTGATTATTGAGATGAAAAGAGTGTGTGTACTATATTTGGGATCATACAAATACTACAAACATGATTTTCTAGAAGTGTCGTTGCATTATAGTATGATACAACTGTTGCATTAGACCATTGCTCTCATCTATAACATCAGAATTGAGCCTTAGTCCTTTAATCTAGATCTGACATCTCTGAAAGTATTTAAGTTTATATTTTTTATTTACAAATCAGATGAACATGAATTCTAGTCACGTATGATTATCTCAATGGGTCACACTTATAAAATATTTAAAATATTTTCATGAAAAATAAAATGACCAAATTGCCCCTAAAATTTTAGCGGTAATTTGGTCATTTTATTTCCTTTAAAATATGGTTTTTATAGTTCATAGGTGTGAAACTATTGGTGTTAACATGATTTGTTTATAAACAATAAAATAGTTCTTAGACATGATATTGATTGGGGCCATCTCAGATGTCCATTCAAATGAAATGGCTGGAAGAGGGGTGGTATATATAAATTCCCTATATTTAGTGGCATATAGAAAGCTTTCCCATTGCATTATGGGTGAGGTTTGTATAAGGCATCAATTTCAAACGATAAAAGTAAGGCGCATCTCAAAACTTTGTTGAAAGATGTAGTTTTAGGGCCCAAAAAGCCTTGCAATTGCATAAAAGTCTAGTTGTCGCTAATGTTTGAAAAATCGAACCGGTTTCGAAAACTAACCATGGGCCAAGTTCAAGTAATTGATAAACCAGCCAGTTCAACTGGACTAACAAAGTAGGTCCTGGCCAGTCCAAAAAGAGTTAAAAAAAAAAAGAAAAGTACAAAACAAATTAAAAAAAGTATGAAAAGTATGAAAAATATATTTAAAACATGATTAAACAAAGTACATCCAAATGAAGTTAAAAAGTAGTTAAAAAATGGAATTTAAAAGATTGATTTGTGCCCCAAGGTATTTTCAAAAATTTCTAGAAAAGATGAGAAATATAAAAATAAGTATTCATGGCCAAAACACTTTCTAATCTCTGCCAAAATGATAAAAATATTTAAAAAATACATTACAAACAAATCCCTTATTTTCTGGATATTTTATATATATATTTTAAAAGTTAAATGCCCTATCAGACTACTAAAACCGACCAAAACCGGATCGCCAATACTTGGTTCCGATTTGACTAGCCAGTTTCGAGTTGGACTGGCCAAGTTTGTGAACATTGATTGTCACCTCAAATTATGAAATTTAAGCTCTAAACACAGTGCAGATTGAGCAGACTATAAACAATTAAAAATATTGAAAAAAATTGTGCGTATAATTTGAGATGACCAATTTAATAGTTTTTCTAGCATAAGAGCAACCCTTTTTTATGGATCTTTTATGGGTCTTACTTCAATAATATAAAGTTGACATAATATATTACTTTTATTTTATTTTATTTGCAACAAAATAAAGGAATCATTCTTTTTGGGGACAACTATTTGTTGAACATGCAACACAATGTATGACTAAATAGGGTTGTGTTGCCACCATTAATCCAACCCAATAATTATTATTATGCCATCAAAGACAGATTGCTATTAACATTTGCCCCAATATTTTTGGTGGTCAAATTGGGTCCTTGTAAATGATGTGCAATTACTCTAATAATTGTTGTAAAATTTCGCAATTAAATGTAGTTCTAGCGCTAAAAATCCTTGTAGTTGTTAAAAATCAGTTTTTCCGCCTAACTATAGAATTTAAAGATCTAAAGATTGCGCACGTGTGGCAAGTTTGTGAGCTTTTGAAATCATCATCATCATAACTTTTTTCCAACTATTGGGGGCCAGATACATGAATATTGATTCATCATTCTACTTTATCAAGGACCATATTCTTAATGAAGTCATAAATCTCAATATTTTTTCTCTCTACTTCAAACCATGTAGTTTTGGGCCTATCCCTTACCTTTTTTAAAGAACTCTTGAAATAGACGGTTAAAAAAAGGTATGGCAAGATAAGAGTAGTATACTACGCTCTCTTTGGAGTATAGTTCATTTCTAATACCTCGGTCAAATGTCCTACTTGTGAGGATTTTTTAAATCTTAAATTTTGGTAACCACCTTAGAATCATTAGATGATTATTCTTATAAAAAAAGAAATTTCAGCTTTCTAACACTCAACTCTCACCATCTAAAAATTGGATGGTTTCTATTCTATCTTGAGACATTATTTTTTCTAGTGCTTAGAGGGTGCCATTAGGAATTTTTTTTAGGGATTGTATACAATGAGACCATTTATCTTGGTCACAATTACTTACAACCATCTAATGTGAAAATCGGATAGCTTGGGTGTGTCACAAAGTTTGAAAAAATTTCTTTTGAAGTTCGAGCTTGATTAATAAAATAAATTCAGCCATCTAATTTTACATCCAATAGACAATATTAATTGTGACCACCTTATACCAAAGATAAATGGTCTTATTGTATATTTTTTAATTTATTGTTAAAGCAATAATATCCCCAAAATTGGCAGACCTAAAACTAATTCTAGGTGGGATTTTATCTTAGGGAGTAAATGGACATTATATATCCCCGAAAGAGTAGAATATCTTTTGACATAAGTATGGAAAAGTATAGAAATAGACTATCTACCTTTAATACAAAGAGGTCACAATTATTTTTTTTATCGGATGATTGTGAATGTGTCTTTGAATAGGTTCAAAATTCAAAGAAAAATTTGAACTCTGTGACACATTCTAAGTTGTCCATTTTGAAATCGGATGGTTAGGGATATTTGTGACCTCCTTGTATCAAAGGTAAATAATATCATAGTATATAATCTCAAACAAGATAGACCATTTTCAAGCATTGAAATTGCTATTACTTCTTAGATCCACGCCAAAACTACATTTTATGGGGAGATTAGGATGCACTATTATAAAAATTGATTACACAATGTACTTTCCCTTGTGTTAGTTTACCAGTAGACCGGGTATTTGCTAAGAGTTGGAGCCCTTCAAGGTTTTCCATTTTCTTGTCTAAAGTACATGCAAATTAATCGGATATCTTCAATAAAATAGAATTATGAATATTTAAAATTAAAATTTTGATAATGTAAATTATCATGTTACAAATTCGGCTATACAAGTAAGGGAATCAATAGTTAGGATCAGGAATCAATGGGGAACAACGCGGTTCGTAGTTAGAACGTGGAATCGATCCGATTCCTTCAAACTGCCCCAGTTCCCTTAGAGAAGTGAGAGAGTTAGTCCTTGACTGGGCGATCCGTATTGCCC